ATCACAGGAGAAGCGGTCTCATTGGACCGCTATTAGGAGTGGAGTCAGGACAAATGAGCCCATCCCCGGAGGGGAAGGCCCCGCTGCCAGATGGCACGGGCCACGCGACAGCTTTTGAACGGCTCGCAAGCACATTCTTGCAAAAGAGAGCGAGTGAAAAGCGGGAGGCTGTGTAGTCGCTATAATTAGCGTACTCTCTGTCAGCTGACCTGAGAGACCTGGGTTGTGTTGATAAAAGTCTGCATTTGCTGATTTTAAGCAGTTTTTGCTAGATTTTGATGGATGAGTGCTGATCTTAAATCAGCTTGAGAGTGCAGCTTCTATCCAAAGCGGTTTACCTTCTCAATCCGAAAAGTGAGACAAACAATTCTCAACTTTTAAAGGGAGAGTTCACTCAAAATGAAAAGTTTGTCACAATTTAATCATCCTCAAGTTGTTCCATACCTGTATGATTTCTTTATTCCGTCAAAAGGAGATGTTAGGCAGAATGTTGATGCTGTTCTCTTTCACACACTGACACTGAATGGTGATCAGCAGCTGTCAAGCTCCAAAATGCACCTAAATTCATCAAAACATAGTCCATACGACTATATACCAAGTCTTTTGAGGCCATAATATAGATTTGTGTGAGGAACAGACTGATATCAAAATCATTATTTAATGAATATCTTCTTTGTCGATCTCAGATCTCATTATTTGAATATGCATTCTAATTCCATGCCTTGTGAACTGCTACTTGATCCCTTAGTACTATTGATGGTTGGCACCAAGTTTGACAAGATTTTCCTTATTTAATGCTATAGTATGGTTATAGAAGAGTTGGAATATATTGCAAAAGTCATACAGACCCCTTTTATGGTGCCCTCTGTCCTGCATGGTCACCATTCACTCAGCTGCTAAACATCTGCTTTTGAGCTCCATGGAAGAAAGAAATCACACAGGTGTTGGAAAGCCATGAAGATAAGTAAATGATGTGCAAAATTCTCTTTTCTCTATTAACTATTTGTTTAACATCAAAGAGCACCAATTTCATCACTTGAAGTGTGAATGAACAAGATCAAGAAGGCGACAACTGGACCATTTGAAAATGCTTTAAAACACAGAAAATGCTTTAACATGGAAAACTCTCTGGAACACAACCACAAACCAATCAAAAAGCAGTCAATATTACAGTAATGAAACTCTGCAGGATGAATTTTCCAAAAGTTCGCGCAAACCTGTCCTTCTGCACTGGTCGTTAGTGGCATTAAGTGCCCAAGCCTCATTGGGCTCCGCTGCATATTAAAGTGGCCACATTCACTGGAAGTGACTCAGTGATTTGGTCACTTGAGCCACACCTACAGACTGGAGCCGGATCATGGCCTGAGGCTCAACGGCAGATGGGGAAGTGTGTTCTTAAACAAGTAACAACATCTGTGGAGGCTAAAATGAGTAATCGGGCCAATTAAATAGTGAATCCTGAAATCCAGACATTAAAAAACAACACTTGGAAGTACAAAAAATGTAATATCTATCTTTGTTTGTTCAGGGTATATGGAGGAAATTCATTTAGATATGCTGTCAAAAAATCTTAACATTCATGAGTAGCAAAGGCATGAAATTGGTGCTCAAATGGTCTTCCACATCTGGACCATGCAGCTATAAAAGTCTGTCCAAGCCTGTAGGTCACTGGTAATGGACTGAAATCAGGACAAGATGTTTTGTATAGACAACAGAAGGACAAAGCAGAGAGCCCAAGGCGTTAAACGCAAGTACAGACACGAATAATATACATTTTGGTCTAAGAGAGACATCAACTAGATGACCAGAGGGACTTTTCATAAAGTGAAGCCGCCAAGACTTGTTTACAAGACGACAGTGTGAGAATGGACACTAAACATCATTCATTCCATTACTAAATGTATTAAAGTAAAAACACAGGCTATATTACACACACAAAAAAAAGTATTAAGAAAATAAGCTGTTTGGTGTCTTGACATTTAAAACATTTAGCATCAAACTAATAAGGACCGTATACTTTAACTTGCTTTGCTTATTAATTTAATTTGCCATGCTGTTTCTATAGCGCTCAACGCACAGACGAAAACAAAAACACTTACCGCTCGCAGTGGAGACTGAAACAGCAAGAAGACACGCCGCAAAAAGTGGCAAACTAACACACAAGCTTGAGAAAGTTCTCATGGTGCCGAACTGTAGTTCTTCGGTGAACTTCTCGTCGGTCTCAGGAGTCGTTCGGTGTGAATCCGTTCGCCGTTATGACTAACGTTACAGGCAAGATTAGAGGCGAGAGAGGGACAATATATGCGCTCCCACGTGTATCTCTGCTCTCAGCCAATTACATCCTGTTTTTAAAATATGGCCCCGCCCACGACCCCGCCCCTAGGGTAGTCATTAGTGCGAATAACGGTGCGCTGCTTGATTGACTTGATGCAGTAAACAAAGCAGCTCGGTTTACAGAACGAGAAAACATTTGGTGGTTTCAGGCATTTGCTGTGTTGTTTACACGGCAAAAAATTGAAAATATTTACTTATGTCGTTTCAAACCTGCATAACTTTCTTTCTTCTGTGGAATACAAAAACCAAGCTAAAAAAAAACAACTAACGAACCAACAGAGAACGTTCCCAAAACCTTATTTTTTTCGGTTCCCAAAACCAAACTGGAACAAATAAGAACCTTATGGGAACGTTCTGTGTTTGACAGTATTAGTCACCGCTCTCTTACTAAGCCTATATCTTTTTCATATAATTAAAGTAGCCTAAATGAGACTGTTTTTCTGATCCACTGTATAAATAACAAAAGTGGGGTGAATAAATTATGATAGAATCTTCAGAATCTCTTTAAAAATCTTAAAAGGAACTGATTTTTCTGAATGCATCATTAAGGCTTCTGCAGAAGTGGTTGTTTAAACATTAAGCCCAACTTGCAGTTGAATTATGAACTGAAGATAAGTAGGCCTAATGGAAAGTGAGATAAAGCAGATTGTTGTAACATAAATAAATGCTGCATTCTTGCAGAAGCATAATTGGGTTTTGTAAGGTCAAGGTAGTGGGTGTATTGCTCTAAGATGCATTTATGCATGTGGGTCGATGCAAAGTGTGGGTGATGGTCAATTGGTGATCATGCTTTTTTTTAGTATCTTGTGCTTTTGTGTAGGCCTATAAAGCAAAATGCAAAGCTGCTGGACAATGTAAACTGGAGGATCCAGTAAATTAGAAATATTGAAAGAGAAATGGCATTATATTAGGCTAGTTAACCCCAAACTTGAAAGGACTTCACAAAGTCAAAACGTTTAAGGAGAAGACCAATTGTTCATGCACCACTAGATTCCATTTTATGCATAATGAAAAATAGCCTATTAATGTCTCTCTTGGCTCTGTTGCTGGGGCCCTTAAGAGCTTGTGTCTAAATGCTCCTCTACAGATACTTTAGCCAGTCCCACTTGATTTGATTGAATATAATGTGAGGTTGATTTTCCTCCAGCAGAGCCACTAATCTCTAATAACATAATGGATGTCGGCTGTGGGGAAATCATGGAGCTGGATTTTAAACATCAGACATTTAAGATCCTGGTTGACTCACAAAATATCCATCTTATTTAGCATCACTTAGAGTGACTAACTGAGTTTCATTTATGGCACTTACGGGAAATAATACAATAATTTATAAGGGGGATCAAATCAGTTGTGCATTACAGCGTGCATTTACTTGGAATTTGCCGTGTAATTGCTATATTGAGTCCTCGAGATGTTCTTGGACTGCTGGTCCACTGCTGTTGTCACTTTTGCATCTGCTCTCTCCAGTTCTCTGAATTTCTGTGAGAACATACCACTCTGACGAAAGCACTTGTAATACATGGAAACTGTAAACAACTTGCTCCATGGAGCAGTGTGTGTTTTCAGTTGTATCCTGCCATCTTGTGGAAATTATCAATCAGCACACTGTTCATATTCATATATGAAGCTGTATTAAATCAATCAATCAATCAATCAATCAATCAGTCAGTCCATCCATCCATCCATCCATCCATCCATCATCTATCTATCTATTTATCTATCTATATCTGATTTCTGGGAGATAAAATATAAAAATATAAAGACGTTTAAAGGGATCATTATTTATCATTTTTATAATAGGATAATGTTATTTTTTCTTATTTAGCCTATTCATTTATTAATTAATTCCTACTTATTTACTGATTTATTTGTATTAAGCATATGCGTTTTTTCCTCTGTTTTACACATTTTAGTTCTGGGTGGTTAAAATTAATTTATATGCAACATGCGCAGAAAACAAGTTTAAAGGAAAGACATTTTTTTTAAATTTCATTTAATTTGGGAGAATTTATTTATTTCTTTAGGCCTATTTATTCAACTACTTATTTGTTTATTTTACTTGCTTGCTTTAGCATTTTATTTTTGGGAGATAAATTAAATTATAGGTAAACAAACCAGTAGAGACGTTTAAAGGGATAAAATGACTCATCTATCATTTAATTAAGTGAATATCTTTATTCTATTCTGTGAAACAATGCAAAACAAAGCTGATGGAAGTTGATCACGTTTCTTCATACATTTCCAATTAAAAGTTTACTTTTACTTTTAATGTTTAACTTAAGGTAAGCGAACTTGTAATGCTTTTAGCGACCTTGAGATTTGTGCAAAGAAAAACGTTTTCTTAAGTGCAGTTACTTGTTGAACATTTTTGTAAACTTTCACTTGTTTTTGGCCCAATATTTTGACTTCTCCTTCAGTGAAAATTTAACACAGTATCCATACTTAAACTTAAGTGTAATTTCTCTGTACTTTTTGTTCACTTCAGGTAACAGCTATTGAATGACAGTGAAGTTGACGCTATTGTAATTCTAGCGCACAGCGATAGTGCTGGAACCAACTGAATATCTATGGCACTGTAGGCGCGCCGAACCTGACGTCATTGTGACGCTGCTCCAATCAGAGGACTCGAATGAAGACGCGCTCCAGTTGCTGGGTGTAAAGTGAATGACGATAATCTATGAATGTTGTTTGTAGTCGTCAGATGTCTTTGAGTAACGTTACAGTGAAGATGTAAAGAGCAGAGGCACAGAGGAGTCACTGGACAACTTTGAAGACAAGGTATGCATTGTTTTCTTTATGCATGTTGTGCATGCTAAGAATTCGATGTTATAGTTATATTCTGTTGTAGCATAACGCACAAGCAGTATTTAAATTGCTCAACGCGTCCTGAATTGTCTTATAACCAGTGCAAAAAATATATAATACAGCAGCTTTATATTAAATAATAAAAATTCAAAAGTATGTTTATGTCAGAAGTATGATTAACTCTGTTGATAGAGTCACTGTAAACTGTACTCACCAAGAGCAGACAGATTAACCCCCTGTAACTGTTGCATGATGCAGCATACTTTGACTGGATGACACATCCGGGTCAGTGAAGTGCCTCTGTTTTTCTGCTGGACTGAACATTGACATTCGGAAGCTGCTCTGTAACCCAGCACATATTTTTTTAAGAGTCAAGGTGTGATAGGAAATTATTAATTCATTCTATGTGCAATATTTATGTCTTTTATATTTGTAATTTATCCTATCTTTATATGTGTTTAGCATATTTTTTTTAAATTAGATTAATTGTGTCCAAATTTACTCTTTTCTATTACTTATGCATGTGTGTCTGCACAGGTGTGTGTACATAGGTCAATGACAAGTAATGTCTGATATTATAATAAGGAGGAATATTATCTAGTTTGACACATGTGGCAAGTTCTTAGATATGTAATCTTTGTATCCATGTTTGAAAAACAATTATAATATTTTCTACAAAAAAACAACAACAACAATGTCATTTCATTATTTTAAAAAGCTTTACACATATAATTTTATGAATATTGAGAGGCTTATTTCCTTAGGCTTATTCCATTTGATCTGAACATAAAGTGATATTTGAAATATGTGCTATTCTACAGTCCACGTATGTATATATTCGTGTATGCATGTTAAAAGTTCTTATAAGTTAAAATATTTATATATTTCCTTTTATAATTTTTTCCCCCTTAAATCAGCTATTAGTAAACTAATCCATCATGAGTGCCCAAGTGGAGGCAGATGTCCGCACCATATCTCCTGAGATGCCGGCCATGTTTGATGGCATGAAGCTGGCTGCTGTAGCCACGGTGCTGTATGTCATAGTGCGGAGCCTGAACCTGAAGTGTCCCACGGCAGCCCCTGACATCACCTGTCAAGATACCCCTCTCAATCGTTACCTGCTCAAGTCTTGCCCCATTCTAACCAAAGAGTGAGTGCTGCTGCCTAGAAGGATTTCTTGTCATCTTATTGCAGTCTTCTCACACATTGCATCTTTTTTAGATGGCAAAATACAATAAAATGATGCGATGTGCTGTAGAATGACTAGAAGATTCCAGGAGTAAATTTTTAGTTAAATAAATATTTGGATACACTTAATAACTATTACGCCACCTGCCCATGTCTCCAGGTACATCCCTCCCTTGTTATGGGGAAAGAGTGGACATCTCCAGACTGCTCTTTATGGGAAGATGGGAAGGGTAAAGTCCCCTAAACCTTGTGGGCTGCGTAAGTACCTGCCTATGCCTGATGGAGCCACTGCCACCTTTGACCTGTTTGAGCCACAAGGCGTCCACAGTACAGGAGGTGAGCCTGGGTTTTTCAATAGCAAAGGGATTTTTGACCCCAAAGGGGAAATGTTGATCTAAAAATATACACAGAGCTATCATATGGTTTAAAAAGACTGGAATATTACTCACAAATAATCTTTTTATGCTGCATTCGTGCATTTTTAGACCTTGACAGCTTGTCATTTTCATCCACTTATGGTTTATGGTTTATGATTAAGACGATTCCTCTGGAGAGGCAAATGTGTTGCACGTACTTTCACTAGAGTTTATCTGTCTCTGTCCCATTACAGATGACATCACCATGGTGATCTGTCCTGGGATCGGTAACCATAGTGAGAAGCATTATATACGGACCTTTGTGGATTACTCACAGAAACAAGGCTACAGGTGCGCCGTTCTCAACCATCTTGGAGCGCTACCAAACATCGAGCTGACTTCCCCAAGGATGTTCACCTATGGTAAGCCACACTTGGCAAGCATGCTTGTTTGTTATGAAACAAGCATACTTGTGAAAAACAACCAGGCGGTTAGTCACAATTTCTTTATAATAAGATGAGAATTTTTTGTT